TGCACCTGCCTTATTTTGACATGCATGATGCAGCGGCTCTTGTCATCTCCCGTGAATCCGTGATACATCTGCTATTTGTGGATATGTGCATCCATTGTACCTCGGGCTTCCGGCGATCAACGCGGCAGTTCCCAGCAGATTAGAGATTGACTTGGGGATCTTCATTGTTGATCTGTAGCTTGGATACAGCCCTGGGAGGTTGTCCAGGTTTGTCCCTCGGGTATCTCGAAAGTTCAGATCACATGCGATTGTACATTGTATATTTTAGACAAAGTAGATGTTGATCTCGAGTGCCAAGCCCCCGAAAGATCCCCGACGATATGCCTCCAAAGTGTGTTGGGGTCAATAATGTGACCCTCCCGTTACGCTATTGACTGGATCAACGATGCCGGGACTAGTTCAACGTCAGGTGAGCGTGTCAAAGCTCAATAATAGATATGGTTATTTGTGGAGAAAGGGGAGGAAGCCATGTGGCCAAAATGCTTAAGCTATTAGTATGATCTAGCATTATTGCAACTTTATTGCCCTTCTAGTTTTTAGACTCATCACCTGCACTTGTGTCTCGGTAGGATGCCGTATGGAGTAGTATTTTTGGAATAGGAATAAAATCACGCCATTTACATTTGGTCTGCAATAAAAGGGGTTATCATCCAGTCTATGGGATCTACAAAATAGTGGGCATTAATATAGCATAGTGTCAAATGGCATTCATAAAAGTGGGCATAGTCAGGCACATATGTAAGTTGTGATGATGCAGAACGAGTTTCAGGCATCACAATCTATCTGCGACACGGCTGTGCAATTAGCGTGATAGGATTTCTTCGGGTTAAAATTATAGTTGCGCCTTGCCTTCAAGTCAATATTAACCCCTTGTCAATATATGCTCCTAGTGCTTGGTAATCTAACATACAACATAAACCCATTTCTAGGTTGTAATATCCAAAGCTATTCCTGTATGATTCCTTCAAACACGACAGGATATGGCGGGCAGTCTCGTCTTTTTATGCTTAATGCTTAATAAACAACTGAGTGAAATTTGCATATTGAGAGAGGATGATGCCATAACGAAGAAATGACAAGGTTCATATCCCAGTGTCACCCCCAAAAAAGGACCTCGAATATTCTTTAGCTTGTACTATCTTAAATATCAAAATCTCCTCTTTACACTACAAACATATTTACAAGTCGAAACAACATACAATCTCACTGATTCATTGGAAATCACCCTCGCTGAATATCATTCAAATAAGCTGTCACCCTCTCCACCAAAATCCGCCGCGGCTCCGCTTGGTCGCTATCACTCAGCGCATGCGATGCATTAGGAATGACCATACTCCTTGAATCCCAGATCTGCCGCCCACTCCCATCAGCGGCAATCTGCCACCGCTTCAAGAGAGCCTCCTTATTAACCCACGGAGGCACCGACTGATCCCTTCCAGAGTACAGCACCAGCATTTTCTGCTTCAGCAAACCCCTCTCCCGAATCATTCCAAATGTCCCACGGAACTGCTCGTCAGTCAAATCGGAACTAAACAAATCATCCTCAGATGGATTCTCCGGGCTGTCCGGGCTAACCAGACTCAAGAACCGCCGACTGCTAACCGGTGCAGTGGGCGGATACCCAATCCGCGACGTCACAGACAACGGCACAACCGTATCAACAAGATCGTGATCTTCGTACATCGCCCGCCGCGCATCAGCAACAGCCTTATTATATATCGCGCGCATCTTGGCCGGGCTGTCACGCGCAGTGCCACACTTCACAACCCACAATATGCCCTCGCGGTCGGAAACGGGCGCTTGCATAATTGCTCCGTCGACTGGCGCCCGCACAATCGGCTTGCAGTGGCGGTCGAATACAGGGTGTGCCGGCCGTGGGTTAGGACAGTTGATATAGTGCATCACGTCTTGGCTGCCCGTCGAATGACCCATGATGACCACCTTTCCGGCGCCAAATTGCGGCTCTTTATATTTGCGAACGTATGAGACACACTGCGAGAGCTCATCGATATCCTTGCCCAGTCGTCCCATGCCCCAACCCCCGCCGGCGCAGGAGAGGATCAGCGAAAACACACTCCATTGGGATGGGTCCAGCGCGCGGACCACGTCGCTCAGATATTCGACTGAGCCAAGGCTATCGCCTAGCCCACCGACGAAGACGAGCGTGTGTGGCTTGGGTACATGGCTGCGGGTGTATTCAAAGGCGACGAGGGTTTCAGTCTGCGAGGGGCGTTAGCGGTGTGAATGGCTTGGCTGCGGGGGCGGGTGGCGTACGCAGTGGTGTAGCACACCAGGCTGTCCCTGAGCCAGTGAAGTGAGGAGCTTGAGCTGCATTGTGAGATATTATCTGCAGGTGGTACTAATCCCCAGTTGCAGATTGCTTGGACAATGTGCGTCAGATCAGATAAGAGACATCAGATAAGGAGCTACAACCCGTGGACGGACTTCTTCCGGTACCGGTTTCGCGAAGACCAGTAATATGGGAGTTAGGGCTTGAATATATATTACTAGCGTGTATTGTCGGTATTATGTTAACAACTTCCGACATCGGAATTTGACTTTCATACTTCGATGGATGATGGAGTCGACCATCCATCTCTCAACCAATGTGAAACAGAAGGAAAAAGGAAATTAATAAGATCTAATGTATCTACCTTTATCCTTGGCATATATCACGAACTAACTTCCAATAGAGCATTGTTGAGAGGCAGCTAAAAGCAGTGAGATGCAGTCGCGCGAGCTCTACTTGGAAGATCTTAAGGGATTGATCCTCAACAAAGCTACAGCTTCACTCGATCCCAGAAGCGAGAAGAATATTTTCCCAACTGTTGAACACTCCCCTAAAGGGTGAACCATAATCTCGATTGGACATCATATTTCTAGCTTAGGGGAGATGATGACCCAAACAAGGGGCCTATGCTGATTTTGTTCAGATGCGGAATCTCAGCACCGACTCGTTAGACAATAAATCCGACAATCACTCAAGTGATATCACTGAAACGGAGCAAGTCAGTGAGGATGAAAGGTCAACTGAAGTTATCCAAAGTGATTGGAAGGAGGATTTCCCCATCGATACGACAGAAAAATCTTTGAATCCTAGTTCATCCATCTACCAATAACTAACCAAGGAGCCCTTCCGGTATCTGAGCAAAAGGAAGTATTATTATCATACGCCCCTATCTGCTCATTGCACTTATTGTCGTCGTGGGTGTCAGTATCATGTTGATAAAAACGAGTCCTACTATCGAAATCTGGGTATTGCCTTTTATTGAGAGTTCAATTTTTCATTTCTCATATGTTTTCTTCGAGTAGGCTCACAAGATAGCTATGCTGAACTCTTCTTGTGTAAACTGTAGCCGTTGGGTCACGGACGAGCCTTCCTCTCGCTGTGAGACGAAACGGCATCGGGTCAGGAGGAACTTGGTAATACAGCTAGCAAAGGTTAATATGCGTATGTTTTTTTTCCAGCTCTTGAGTACACTTACAGGAAACCTGCAGTCCCACATAGAAGTCTCCTTGCCTTCTCTAAATGATATGAGCATCATTCTGAGGCTACCAATGTGGATCGGTATAATAGTGTACTCACGATATGCGCCGCCGAAATATGTCTTTTCACCCGTGCCGGGCAAGGTCGCGCCTCTTTCTCTGGATTATCGAGAGCCGTGCAATATGGGCACTTGAAGGCACATGCAGGGATTTTCTTTGAAAGACCAACAAGAGTCAGTCACGTCTTGAAATATTACCGGGGGACCTCTCGGGTAGCTTGATCTGGAATACTCACGATCATCACATGGTCAACCGGCCACTGGGTTGAGAAGTGCTCTCGGCATTCACACACCTTCTTGTGTTGGCTCCAGGATTTGGGCGTGAGTGAAAATCAACCGAAGGGATCAGGGGAAGATGCTTACACCCAGTAATTAGGTTGCACTTTGGGGTCGGTTCTCATCCAGTAGTACCCTCGGAGCGGGCTGCCATCGCTAGTGATCCAGAGATTCGTAGAGGGTGAGTCCTGAGGCTCAGAGGCCATCCTGCTTGAAAACAAGGCATTTCGTTAGCCACTTGGATCTGATGTACTCTGGGGGGAGTATCAATCGAATCAATCGGGCAAATGGGATGATATACGTGCCTAATAGTCTCGCAGTGCAGACTTGGTGATTTGGCGATAGAGAAGGGATAGCGATGCAGGAGAGATGGCCGTAGAATGGTCATATGCTGAAGGCGTGAAAAGGAAGTGCAAGCAATCGAGAGGGACGCTGACCTACATCGAACTTGGTTGGGGATCTGGAAAGCCACTGCCTGAGATCAGAAAATCCAAACAACCTATGTCGCGAAGCAAGAGCGAAGTTTGACGTTGTTTTCAGGTCAATGACCATAAACAATATCAAGCCGGTACTGCATAAAGGGCCCGTCTACTCTACTCGATAATTTACAGGCACGGCCACACTGCTCCTATTCAAGGCCTTAATCTGTCTTCACTCGGTGTTACCATATTTAGCGAGATACAAAGAATAATTATGATGCTATCTGCGTGACAACTTCGTCCGTCAAAGGTTGATGCTGATTTCAACGACTCTACTTCTTGGGACATATCAGATATTGAGCTTTACTTCCGCCTTCTCACAACTGAGATAGATTAAGCTCGCCACCCTTGACTGGGACACTCATAGTTTATAGTTTCTCTATTATGTTCTGTCTTTTGGCATTATGAAAAGTTTCTACAAGACGGGAATGATCAAATAACACAAGCAACAGTTATTCTTATGATCCTTCCGATGATCTCGTCGCAAAGTACGCGCTAGACGAGAGTAATAGGAAGAATACGAGTAGCATATGCGTTTACCAAAATATGCCATGCGAAAACATAAAACCACATCAATATCCAACACCTCATGCCTTATTCCCTCGGCCGCTCTTCCAATGGTAGAAAAACGACAGCTCTATAGATGTCCTCCGGTAAAAAGATTACATTGATTATGGAACCTATCAATCCTTATTCTATACTAACACCCTAGCGCCGTATTGACTGCAGCCACATCCCAGTAGAATGGCCTGAGTTCCAGGATGACCCCCTTCTCTAGGTCCATAGTAAAGGCCTGACAGAACGGAAAATCCATCACTTGTCCGGTGGATCGCACCCTGAAGTGAACATTCGATAGCACCACAACACGGTCAGATCCAGAGCGCTCAAAGATCTCAGGGTTCTGGACGTCCACAATATCAAAGTAGTCCCCCATACGAGTGCTCCAGTCCTGGAATCCTTTAGGTCCGATGTAGACGCCGGCGTACGGGAGGGCGGAGGTCTGCTCTAGACGGACATCAGGTGCGAGCGTGGCGGCGATGCCAGAAAAATCTCGGGCTTCGGGGGCAGCAGACATGTATGCCCGTTCTGCTTCGTAAAACGCATCGAGGATTGCCCGTGCTGTGTATGCTGGAGTAGATACCATGTCGCTAGTAGGTGCCTTCTTAATGTATGCTCCTTCTTAATGTAAGGTAGAGGTAGAGTTTAGGTTTTAATTGGAGACGGAGTATGTTGGTAGAGGTGAAAAGCTAGGCACTTTATATGCGACAATAGTTCAAAAAGATACTCGGATTAATAATTCCACCTGACACAAACGTGCTTATAAATGCTTAGTCAGACTGTTCAATTAAAGAATTACATCTATTTGAGGCATACCAGGGGTGGTCTAAGATGATCGGTCGAGCGGCGCTGTACCAGAAGTTACGGTGGAAAGGAGGCCGGTTCTAGCGCCAGACGCTGTCATTTTCGGCGTCATTTTCAGATGTCCTTATATTCTATATGATACCCTCACCGTACTTTGGACAACGGGGTCGAATTCATCCTTATAAAATTACTGGACGTATGAGAGGCTTCTTAATCATCTTGACCCCAGGTACCGAAAAGCTAAAGCAGTCAGATATATCTGGGATAAGAAATAAGAGAGAAGATAATATCAATACGTGAATTTTGATATGGAAGCAAATGATGAATACCCCTTGATCAACCGGGCCGGGGGTGCATGTTCTGTTCGATAGGAGATTATGCACTCGAGAACCAATAAACAACATTCTCTTTTTGATCTCCCTCTCTGGTGAGCTTATTCCTCAATTTTATCCGAATATGAACGTAGAAATTCTTCTTAACCCACCTCAAACAGGCATATTTCTGGAAAAACATCTCAATTTGACCCCACCCCCTCACCATTTTAGTTGTCCTCTCTTTTTTATTTGCCCCTCCCATCTGATTATTTCCAATGAACAATCATGTTCAAGACCCCGAGCAAAATGAAGAGATCACCGCGTGCGAAAATGAGGCGAGCCCTATGATCAAACGTACCATCGCGGGCGAGGACAACGTCAAAACACAGGCAGTCATTTCCGAGCTTGTTCAAACAAGACGAGGGCTGAAACAACGCCATATTCAAATGATAGCCCTGGCCGGAACGATTGGTACAGGCCTCTTCCTAGCGACCGGGAAATCCCTAGCAAGGGGTGGACCACTCAGCATGTTGCTTGCATATTGCATTGTGGGCATGCTTATCTGCTGCGTGGTTTTTTCCGTAGCGGAGCTCAGTGCTCTGGCGCCTCTTTCTGGTGGCATTATACGACACGCAGAATGGTTTGTCGACCCTGCGCTAGCGTTTGCGCAGGGCTGGAATAGTGTTTATGCGAATGCTATACTGCTGCCAGCTGAGATGGTGGCTTGTGCTGTCATTATTGACTTTTGGTCTGATGTTAACCATGCGGTATGGATTAGCGCCCTTGGTGCGCTGCTCATCATTAGCAATATGCTTTTGGTCAGTATCTACGGCGAGTTGGAGTTTGTTTTTGCAATGTTAAAAATTGCTCTGATTGTTGGCGTGAATATATTGGTGAGCAAGTCTCGCCGCGCAAATAAACTTCTAATTGGTTGCTAACTGCTGTTTATAGAGTATCTGCATCACCTCTGGTGCAGGCCCACAGGGCTACCCCATGGGGTTCCGATTTTGGCGAGACCCTGGGCCCTTTGTGCAATTTCTTGGGATCGATGGCTCCTGGGGACGGTTCCTTGGGTTTTGGCGTGTTCTGAGCAGTGCAGCTTATGCATTTTCAAATGTTGAGAACATATCGGTTGCCGCGGCTGAGACGCAAAATCCTCGCCATAACATCCCCAAAGCGGCCAAACGTGTGTTTTGGAGAATCTTGATATTTTATCTGATCACTATTTTCATGATGGGCCTTATTGTCCCCTCCAACGATAAGGGGCTGCTGTCAGATTCCGGGGATGCTGGAGCGTCTCCATTTGCGATTGCTGCCACCAATGTTGGAATCAAAGTAGTACCTTCGATCATCAATGCTGTCGTTGTCACAAGTGCGTGGAGTGCTGGTAACTCTGGTGAGTGTGGACTTTCCTTTCTGTCTGCCACTGTACTTCTTCTAACTCAAAGATAGCAATGCTCGTTGGAACCAGGACGCTATATGGTCTCGCTCAAGAAGGGCATGCTCCAAAACTATTCACTCGCATCAATCGCTTCGGGGTTCCCTGGATATCAGTTGCCGCAGTCGGATCTTTCCTTGCCTTGGGATATATGACGCTGTCATCTGCAGCTTCCGTTGTGTTTGATTGGCTCCAGCAATTGGTCTCAGCTGCCTCTTTAGTACATTGGATCAATATAGAGGTGATCTACTTGAGGTTCTTTTATGGCTGCAAGAAGCAAATGATCAGCCGTACTGAACTCCCTTGGAGGAGTCCCTTTCAACCTTACGCAGCGTGGATTTCTCTGGTTTCGTTCAGTATCATTCTCCTGACTGGCGGATTCTACGTGTTTATTGAAGGCAATTGGAGTCCTCAAACATTTGTATCGTCATACTTCAACATTCCGCTTATATTTGTCTTATATTTTGGGTACAAATTTTGGCGAAAGACCCGGCTTGTTCCGCTGGAAGAAATTCCAATCCAGGAATTCATTCGCATCGCCAATGAAAATCCAGAACCCATCCCATCTCCAGCTACTGGGTGGCGAAGATTGAATATCCTTTGGGCTTGATGTTGGGGGATTCGATATGGAACTATGAGAGAAGGAATAGACATGTTCTGATAGAATTCGGGTCAAATGGACCGATCATATTTCAAGTATTCATTTACATTCTTCAAATATACACGTTACCCACCGGGACAAGTCTCAACTACTACCCCCAGACGGTAGGCCGGTCTTACTCAATCCCGAATCGCCTAGCCACCTCTCGGAAGCCATCAGACTCAAGATCAACCCACATATCCACCCAGCCCTCATTCTTGGCCATCTCGGCCTCCTCCTTTGATATGCCCTCCTCCTGCTCACGCTCAACATAGATAGTCTGAAACCCACAGCTCTTGGCAGCCTTCAAATCGCGCAGATGCGCCGCAACCAGTCCGCACTGGCCTGGCTCTAGTCCAAACTTCTTGGCCGCACCGTTATAAACCAGCGGAGAAGGCTTGTAAGCCCCAAAATTCTCCGCACTAACAAGATGTGTGAAAGGAAGTGATCCATGTCGCTGGAGATCCTTCAGTAAAGACATATTCCCATTCGATAAAGTAGAAGTGGCGAACCGACGGTTCAACAACTCAAGACCCGGGACGCTATCCGGCCACGGGTTGAGCCGGTGCCAGGCGAAAGCGAGTTCCCACAGCTTCTCATCAGTGAACAGGCCACCCAGATCGCGTTGCCGCAAGAGGTCCTGAAGGGCGTTGTAGTGGTGCTGATCGACAGACACAAACTCGTTGGATGAATCAAATGTGCTGGTGAATACATTGTAAGTCCGCCGCCATTCTGCGACGAATACTAGCCAGTCGTCCCGGGTCATGGCTGCAGTACGGTCCCGTAAGTCGGCTGGAAAGTCATTGCGCGGATAGTTGACAGCATGTAGGGCAGCTGTGCTCAACTCCTCGGCGACACATGTACGCCATGAAACTACTGTCCCGAATGTATCGAAAAATAACATCTGAGGTGGGTGCTCTGCCGACATATTGAGTAGTTGGTGTTGGTGTAGTTGTAGGTGGGGATGTTGATATGCAGGTGTTCCCCACACTTCCGAGATTATGTCGGTTTCCGAGCTCTGCCTTGGGATATTCACACCGTTGAGATCCCAGCTAGATGTGTATGTAGGTCAGAGTGAAATCGATGAGTCTTATTCATATGTACTAATCCCTAGGGCACATGGAACCTGGGAATGACCTCGGGACGCAAATATGCTTAGTCAGTTCGGCTAACCGGCAGATCTAACAGCCTGATTGTTCTGACGGAATATTGTTGGGGATTGTGAAAGGGAATGGGAACCATCAGCCGGTTAGTTTAGGCATAGAAACTTGTCTGTGGGCACAAGCACATGCACACATTGTTCCGGGTATGGGCTGAGTCTGGAGGAATGTGTACAGGGAACATTCTGCCTGTTCTTTTTCCGCCTTCTCTTGACTTTCTCAACCTTCTCACCTCACGCAAATAATTATCATGGCCATTGTCCATTGTCCATTATCAATTGTCAATTTGATTATCTTCCATTAATTATAGCCCTGCATACAACATATGTTATACGGAGTACGGAGTACATACTTTGTACACAACTTCAGCCACTCCTCCGGTGTAGTATCGCCCACATCTCCAAGCTAGACTCACCACTAGCGTTATCAGAGAAACAAACCAACTGAGCAGGGATATGAAATATCAGCAAACATTGACCTGTCAAACGGCCCGCGTCCAAGTCAAAAGTACCCCGTGTCCCCTGAGGCCAGTGGGGCAAATTGGTGGCAATGATTCGTGGAGATTCCTTGCTCCTTCGTGTCAATCCCCGTTGCTAGTCTTCCCAATGGCAATTTGGGGGCTTGACATGTAGAGTCTAGACATGACAGACTCTGTACATGGGATATCGGGTCCGATAATAAAGCATTTATTGCCAATGATTGGTGATTTTCATACGCTACCTCCAACGTCGAACTGTGCGACCGGCACTTGCGTGGACATATGCAGGAGAAAAGCCTGCAATCCAGACCGAGGAAAGCCATGGAGTGCGCGTACGATGTATGTACTCCATACTCCGTACCGGACTTCATACCATAACAATGGAAGTTTGGTTCTTCATTTCGGCTGATGTGGGTTCCTCGTTCCTCAAAGCTCTCGGTGGAGACCTTGGATGGGTCTGGTTTTACCCCTGATCCGCAATGTCCTTGGATGATTTGACATTTGACGATTTTGACTGTCTCCTTGAGCAGAAGCATCATAAAGAGGCGTCAATCCAATGCTATGCAACCTGCAACCTGCAACCTGCAACATATGCACTCTGTGGATTCTGAAACCAGACCACAAGCTCTCATGCGAAATTGTCGACGGCGATCGTCACCCAAACAAGCTACGAGTCTGCCGCCAACACAGCCATTTAATTATATTCTCAAACACGCTAGCCATCGCTATTTTAGTGTCTTCGGAATTGACAC